TATATATATATATATATATGGTATTTAGGTTTCTTCGGGTATTTTCCCACGTCGTAATATTTGTGCTTTTATTATAGCGACGTTTCGGCAGAATCTCATCTGCCATCCTCAGGCTTGTGTATTGGGTTCTTTTTAATCTTGTGTGTCAGGCTTAGCAGCCGTTTTTTGTTTGGATTTGGTGCTGGCTTTCTGCTTTATTTGAATGGTTTTTTCCTCATCTTGATTGGCTAGGAGTCTAGGTCTATTTTTATTGGTCTTCGAGTTGCTGTGTTCTTGATTGGTTGGCAACATTGTGTTTTGTGCATTGGGGTTTCTTAGTGCAGCTTGGTTTCTTGTGAATGGCCGATAATTATTTATTATATTATTATAAATCTCTATACCACAATCCAGGCAAGCACCTGGACACAAACAACCCCCCCCCCCAATACCTCCAGCCCAAACACGCACCAGCCAGCTACCCAAATGAAACCTAGCTTCCTAATAAATAATTATTGGCCATTCGCAAGACCAATAAAAACAGAATGGAATGGAAAAGTCCTAGTTTAAGCCCCCAAAAGCTGGCTAAAGTTGGGGCTAATTGGATCTGTTAAGAGAGTTAGGGCAAGCAATGGAGAACCATTTCTTCCAGGCCCCTTTATTCCCAAGCAGAACAAACCTGAGGCATTCCTTCCCAAGCAAAACGACAACCCAGCGATTCATAGTTCACATTTAAGAAGAGGTCCTGTAGCTCTTTTGAGAGAGGGTCCCTCGTTTGCTACCTTGCTTGAGATAGCCAAAGGAAATAATCTGCAGGTGAGCCAAAGAATAAATTCAGCTGAATGTCCTGTTCTGATGGGCAGATGTGAGCATGAATGCATGATATATCTCTGGCCAGTTTGGATTGCAATGAAGTTAAAATATAATGAAATTGTAATGAAAAATGAAGCTTCCAGAGGCTATGGCTAGACTTCCAGGCTGTAGCACAGAAGCATTTATACCTTCACAGTAACAGAACTTGCAGTGTGCTGCCCTCACTGGAAAAGTTGGGATATGTGCAGAGCTACTGTATGCCTTGAAAATCACCGATGTTGAACTATGTAGCACAGTCAAACATGAGCACAAGAAATGTCTCATGACATTTGTATAATGTATGTGATAAAATGCTTTGTGTTACTGCTATAAAATATTTTGTAAAATTTGGATTTTGGACATATCTATAAATTAGCCCTTGTTTTTAAAAGATCCTACAGTGCAGTGTTTTGCTCATTTAGTGGCTATAAAGAGAGAATTTTAGTAGTAGATAGAAAGGGAAAAACTATGATTGCATCCTGGTTTGTATCTGTGGGGACTGCTGTGTAAAACTATATGGAAGTAAAACAGGGAAGGGTGCTGTGGATGAGGTGGGAAGACAGGTTTGTTTTTTGCACCAATCTGAATGAAACCATTGTTTCAGGGTGAGAAGAGAAGAAAAGTTCTCGTAGGACTCATCTACTGTCGATTTCACTTCCAGCCACCATTTGTTTGATGTATAATTTAATCGGGTAAACCTGGTCATAATAAGGGATGTTGCTTCTTTGCATTACAGACCCTTTTCTGTCAAACCCTCCATTGGGACTCTTGGAGTAAATGAAACCACACAATTCACTATTGACTTTTATCCAGAAAAAAGTGGCAACCACTGTAAAGACCTTGTTATACATTATGATACAGGTGAGAACAGGGAAATCATATATTTTTTTCATTTATGTAATCCTGAGATTTCAGAGACTTTGGATCCTAGCAGTGCATCCTACATTTATTCCTTTTTTAGTGCATAATACTAAAGTGACCTATGATTAACTTGCATTGCTGAATGAGATTTTCCTTGCAGCTGATGATACTGTAGATAAGCCACTCCCTATGAAAGAGAAACCCTACCACCTACTCTGAGAACTGTTAGGGAGGAGATGTCTTCACCCTCTTCCTCTTACACAATATACCAGCACTGACCTGCCTCTTATTCCTCTGGAATGCACCCTTTTCCTCCAGGAAATTCAGAGTACAGGTAGTCCTTGATTTACGACCATTTTGTTTAGTGACCGTTCAAAGTTACAACAGCACTGAAAAAATGACTTATGACATTGTCAACTGTCTCACCAGTGAACCCGAAATAAGGAAACACTCTCGGGAGCTTTGAATTTCCCAAAGTAAAACTTTCTTAGATACACCATTTTGGTACTGAAGAATCAAAACGAGCTGTGGTTTCCCATGCAAATGCTTGCTTAGTTAAACAACAGCTTCCTTTCTCCCCACCCTTGAGATGTTCTTGTGTTATGGGAAGAGTCCATCTCTTTCTCAAGCACCTGCAGGTGTGATCTTGATGGTTGCCAGGCTCTCACAGTCTACACACACATTCTCAGGATTGTATTTCCCCCTTTCCTCCCCCAGTTCATTGGTAGTTGAAAAGGTTTGAAAAGGGCAAAGCAGTTGAATTTTGATGGACTGCTTTTCACACTTACGACCATTGCTGTATCCCCCTGATCATGTGGTCAAAGTTCAGATGCTTTGCAACTGACTCATAGTTATTTTTTTTAAGTAAAAGTTTTATTAATTTTAACAACAAACAAAAAACACATAAAACATAAAACATAACATAAAAACATCTGCTTCTGACAAGCAAAGTCAATGGGGGAGCCAGATTCACTTAATTATGTTACTAATTTAACAACTGCAATGACTGGGGCAAAAAAGTTTGTAAATGAGGCACAACTCACTTTACAAGTGTCCTGCTTAGCAATGAAAATTTTGGGCTCAATTGTGGTTGTAAGTTGAGGAGTACCTGCACTACATTCCTTCACTTCAAGAGAATCCTTTAGTTACTTAGGGTTTCTCCCAGAGCAGGGATGTCAAACTCGTGACGACCTGTTGTCGTCACATGATGTATCTCAATTTTTTCTCCTTTACTAAACTGGGAGGGCTGCGAGTTTGACACCCCTGCCCCAGAGTATTGCACATTTTGCTCTTGTTTGATCTTGGATGGGGTTTCTGGGGAGGGTAACAAAGGGGTTGAATTGCCTCCATTTCTATATAATGTGTTTGACAGTGGATTTTTGGTGATCTTTTCAAGTTTCATGAGCAACAACAACTGTTTTTCAAAATCTCAAAAAATTTGCTTTTTTTATCAATGACACATTGCTACATTCCTGTGTTGTGTGAAGATCAGACTTTGATAATCCATATTCAGAATGCTGTTCTTTAAATAAATCAGAATCTCCCACACTCACACCTGATTATCACCCCATTGATTAAAACAACTGACACTAATTTCCCCTTCAGATGAACTGAAAATCCTAGAACAGGGGTGTCAAACTAGTGACTCACACCCACCCCAGCTCCACAAAGGGGAAAAATGTTGGGAAATGTCACGTGACAGCAACGTGATGCTGCGAGTTTCACAACACTATCCTAGAGGTTCACTTACTTACACAAGCATAATGTTTTTGACTTATTTAATTAAATTCTCTATTTATTTTTAGGATGTGTGTGTGAATGTTTTCAGTCATATTTGTGCAGAAATATTAAAAATTCAAAAGGTTTCACAAATTTGGTTGTCCTAACAAACTAATTTAAAGAATATGGTTCTTTGCTTGAATTACTATAAAATAAAATAATGTTTTGTGAAATTAAATCAAATGCTTTTTACAAAAGATAGACATAGCTAACATAGTTGATTTAAAAATTTTCTGACCTTCCAAGGAGAAGACATTCATGTCAATTTATATGGAGCTGCTACAGATGTCAATGTGAGATTGGATAAGAATTCCTTGACAATCGAGAAGACTTATATCACTTTAGCCAACCAGAGGTCTGTAGTCATACACAATTGGAGTGATATCATTGCACATTTTCAGTGGAAAGCATTTGCAACACATGAAAAGGAAGAAGAGAAAAAACAGATGTAAGTTTGGAATGAGACATTTTTTTTGAGTAATGGACCAGGAGTACATTTTTGTGCACACTAAACTATTTCTTAAATTTGTTGCAAATTTTACAACACATAACAGTTTATAATAATATAATTTTTATGTTTTATTTTTATCCAATTGCAGAATTCTATATTTCTTCCTATTTTATTCTATCATATTCATTTCAACACTCTACTCACTTTCAGCCTGTTGGGTGAAAATTTTCTTTATTTAGAAGCAGCTTTGTTTTTTTCCTGCAAATAATGGCTGAATAATTACTAGCCTTAAAAATATGACAAAAATGTACTTCATTTTATAGAGAGCCAGACATTTTTATCTTGATATTCTAAAATGTCACTAAAGAATAATTCTTCACAAGTATAGGGAGAAAAATAATCCGGAAAGGCTTTTTCAAAGGCAACACATCATTGTTTAAAAGTTTACATTTTTTTTAGTTTCACACTTTGGAGGCTGATGATTGGTTCAATGAGGGCAGGATCCTAAGCAGATGTGTTCCTGCAAGGGAAAAGAGCGCTCAAAGATTAGAAAGAATGGTTTGGTGATCATTTCTGCTAGTTCCGGGCCAGGGAGTCTTGAATTTGTTTAAATTAGCTAAGTGTGGTCTGTGATTGTAATAAAGATTGATTGATTGAGAATCATAGAATCAAAATCATAGAGATAGAAGAGACTTAATCTAGACCAGGGCTGTCAAACTCCTGGCCTATGGGCCAGATGCATCATGCGCTGGTCAGGCCCATGCTTGGTTTAGTGAAGGGGGGGAAGTCCCAATAGGTCACATGATGCCGCCGTGATGATGTGAGTTTGACACCCGTGATCTAGACCAACATCCTGTTTAGGGCAGGAATTCTTATAACCTCATTTTTTTTCTTGTGTGGGGTTTTGTTTGTATGCCATTCTGCCCACCCTACTTCCTTATACGAGAGCTCTTTTAATCTAATGGCTAAGGTGCTGGACTAGAGAAGAGACATCTGAATCCTGACTCTTTTAGGCTTGGCGACCGACTGAGTTGGCCTCAGGAGAAAAACTGCATGAATTTGTCCCCAGGCCTGCCAGGAGCCAAGGTGCCTCTATGGCACAAACAAAACTCCACGCAGAACTCATTTCACAGAATTACCCATTCTTCCTGGACAGGTTTCTCCTATAGAATTTCAGGTCAATGGAAACACATACCAGTTTATCAAACTCTGCTATCCTATGGTCACTTCCTCACAGGTCCTGTCCTTATCACACCTTTGACTATTATGAATGCGATGATCCTCATGGTGTCTGTCCCCTTTGCTTCTTAACCAAGCATTCTTTGGAGTCTGTTACAAAATACAACATTTTATCTCTTTCTTCGCGGGGCTCTAGGATGTGTCAAACCCTGCAGGCTGAACAAAACAGTGTGCTTGATCAGCTTCTGGTGGAATGTAACATGAATCCAGCACTTCGTGAGCATCTCTCTATTGTCACCCGTACCTTTGAGAACCGACGGGCAACTGTCCATGAAGATGTAATGCTCTTCAACAATAAAGTCTTTTCCATTGAGCCTCTGGTGAGAAATTCCGTAGGACAGGGGAGTGGGGGGTAAGCAAGGGAATAGGTTGGTAGAATTTTTTTAAGTGCTTTAGATGCCTTTTATGTAGAACAGAGCCTTCATTAGTGACCTGAGGGCTCAGATGTGAAACTTGAAGGAGAGGCAATCCTTCAAATGCCCAGGGGTGTATGTGTGATATGTCAAACACCAGCGAAATCAGGAGAGTCAGGCAGTTCAAATGTGTATAAAGATTTATTGTAAGCTTAAGCTCTTTACAAGAATCCAAACTACTAATGGTTCAGTGAAATTAGCAGGAGTTAAGAATAGAAAGGAATTCAAGGTGGGCTGGACTTAGATCTCTTGTAGGCACAAAGGGACTCATGACTGATGACGCATTTCACCCCTCCTTCAGGCTCAGCCTGGTCATCTCCTACAGGCTGGCCCTTTTCATTTAGTAAACACCTGTTTGAAGCTCTTTATCAGAGCTTAAGCAGGACAATAGATTGGATAGACTGAGATTTGTTCCCAACAAGCAAAAATAGTGATGTCTGTCCTACTCACCTTGGTTTAGAAGGGGTTTAAGCTTACTTAAAGTAACATACTAAGAGCTTCAGAGTGTTTTTGGATCCATTGTTGCAGTTGGGAGTCAAATTATTTGTGGCACATGATCTTTTAACCAGCTTAGGTCTGATGATGTCCTGTAACCCTGAATGAATGGAGAGAGCATTGGGATGGCCTTCATCCTTTTCAATTAATTAAAGGCTGTTTTTGATGGGCTAGCTAGATTGCTGACAATAGCTGGTAAAGATTGTTACATTTTGCCAATACCCTGCTGCATCTTTTATTCTTAACATTATATTTTGTTAGTTTTTAAATTCTTGATGTGTTTCTGTACTAATAACACTCAATGGGTAAGTCTACTTATCCATTGAGTGTTATTAAAAGTATTCTCTATAACATAGAAATCCAGGTTCATTGTGTTGGTCTGATTGTCTTGCTTTTAAATTGTAGAGCCACAGATTTCAACAATAAAAATTTAAAAATAAATAAAAAACATCAGTAAACAAAATTATCCTCATTTTATCCTAAAATGAGGACTAATAGACCGAGAAACAGTTTCTTTTCCAAGGCAATAATTGTCTTGAATCAAACAGTACACTTGTGATTTAGTTCTATGTATAAAGTGGCATTTATAAACTATCTAACTTAATATATGTTTTAAATAGGTTTTAGTTTTTAATTATTATTATTATTATTGTTACTTTAATTATTTTACTTTTTAAATACTGTGTAGAATGATTGTGATGTGGTGTTTGGGGCACTTGGCTGGAGTAGCTTTCAGTAAAGGTATTCTATTCTAAAATTATTTCACAAAGCCTTAGAAAGTGTTATGATTATGTAGTTCTGATTTTCCAAGAGCACTTCAATCTTTGCAACAAAGGCAAGATACATTAAAAAAAAATCCAGTCTGGAGTTTATGATATGCTTGGCCCCAAAGTTCAGGGCTCCTTTCATAGGATTAAGAATGTGATGTTTAATGTTAAGAGAATACTGTTCACAAATAACAGCATTCAGGAGTGTGGCCCTGGCAGCCTCATCTTCGTCTTAACCAGGTATTTTAGTCTTGGTGGTAAGAGGATTTTTTATTATTATCCATAAGAGGTACTGTATGTCTTGGGGTTAGAGTTATCCATTCCCAGTTTATTTTCTTTGAATGCTTTCCTTTTCTCTCAAGGCTGAGATTCATAAGTGGTTGTAGAGGGGCCACACACCAGCATCATAGGACTGGTTCACTGCCCTGGGCATTGGGGTAATGGGCATCCATAAACCCAAATAGCCGATCTAGAAGTGTTATGCCAACAATAGGCTGATGTATTTAGCACTGAGCTGGGACAATACAAAGGGACACCCATTTCACTCAACCTCAATCCAGCAGTAACTCCAATCCGATTAAAACCATGCAGGGTTCCCTTTGCATTGAAGCCTAAAATTGATGCAGAACTAGACAAGCTGGTACAGCAGGGAGTACTCAACCTATGAACTGTACCCATTGGGAGACTCTTATAGTGACTCCAGTTAAGTCTAACAAGGATGTTTGCATCTGTGCAGACTACAAGTGCACCATAAACAAGGCACTACAGCAGCATGCTTACTGTGATGACACGGGGCATGGCACAAAGGCAAAACAGTCAATGTATCCTGCCACTGCGCCTCCTGAATCCTGACTGGAAAGTCCACAGGGTCCTCAGTGGCTGCGAACCACTCCAACGGGATCACCATCCAAGGCAGAATTTTGTCCTCCCTTCGGGTATACTCGGACTTCTGGGACAATGCATCAGTGCGCTGATTCCACCCACTCGGAACATAGGTCACCCAGAAATCAAATCAGGTGAAACACAGTGACTATCACATCTGAAGCTGGATCAGTGTCCGGGCTGTACGTAAGTGTTCCAGGTTGCAGTGGTCCATCTGAACCTCGACCTGGTGGCGAGCCCCCTCCAGATGGTGGCATGTCTCAAAAGTGACCTTAACCGCCAATAGCTCCTTGTCCCATATTATATAATTGTGCGCTGGAGCCAACAGCTTCTGACAATAATAGGCGCATGGGAACAAGGTGCCTGCGGTGGCATAGGCCTGGAGGAGCACCGCCCCAACGGCCACATCAGAGCCATCCGTTTCCACCGCGAACGGCTGGAATGGATCAGGGTGTTTGAGGATGGGCTTGGAGGCTTCCTGCTCCTCAGCACCTGCACTAGGAAGAGGATGAGAGCAGATGCCAAGAACAATGTTTCATCAGGCCATGTTTCAGGCCAAGTCTGCTCCTGGAGAGCTGGCTGGCTTGTTCTAGCCTCTCTGCTTCCTTGGGGATTGGGGAATGGGCTTCCATGGATTTTATTACAGATACTTCTTGGGTTTCAACCATTGGTTCAGTGACCACTCAAAGTTATGGTGCTAAATGAATGGTACTTGTGATGGGTTCCCTTAGTTCTGGCTGCCACAGTGTTCCTGCAATCAGGTGATCATGGTTTCTGAATTTTGCTTAATGGCCCATGCGGCCCTTGTTTAATGATGGCAACCAAGACAGCCAGAATTCCCATTGCTAAATGATGTGGCCATGTGCCAACACACTTTCTAATTGCATTGGAATCCAGTCTTTTCCAGTGGATCACTACTTGTGCTTCAGGTCTTCCTCCCCTGCTTTTAACAACCTAAAACTCCCAGCAAAGCCCTGAAAGTTGCCCGCCCTTCCAGGAAAAAGAGGGCTCTCCCGAACAAGTGAGAGGGCAGCAGGAAGGCTGCCAAGTTGCTTGATTTGCTAGGTGAGGCAACTTGTGTTTCAATTAAGCCATATGGTTTTATTGTTTGGAAATATACAGTATATATTTCTGGTTTCTAATTCAGATATATGGTTGTGCAGAATGGTTTTTGAGTACAGAAAGCGAACCTGCAGAGCAACAAACAAAAGCCTTTGTTTGAGTAAGACTGTTCTCACATTCTTTTCAGACATTATCCAAGTCTAAGAAGAAGCAGGAAGATTCAGTTGCGCTCTTTGCTGCATCATTTAGTTTAAAAAGTTTCTTTTGGCTTCTTTTCAGTCCCTTTTGTCATCCAGAATAATATTGGTAGCAATTGTAAGTGTCTGTTCTGGAATTTTAGAAAACAGAGCTGAAAGACAGACATTCTTGAGCTTTCATATTCATTGTCTTTATTCTACCTTTCTTTAGGAGGGAGATGTTTGGCCCAATTCTACAACTGAAATCAGTGTGATGTTCAGGCCACAAGAAGCTGGGATGTATCTTCAGACGGTCTACTGTGATATTACGGGTATAACCTTAAATACATATTCCTATTTTAGGATACAGGTGATTTCAGTTTCCCAGTCTTGTGAAAGCTGGTCCTGATATCCTGATCCTCAATTACAATAAACACAAGAATTTATTTCAGTCATAATTAAATAGAAGCCTATGGCAGGAGTTACAAACCTTGGTAACTTTAAGATTTGTGGACTCCCCGAGGAATTCTGGGAGTTGAAGTCCACAAGTGTTAAAATTGCCAAGGTTGGTGACCTCTGGCCTATGGAATAGGATGACATATGTCATCTGCTCTTCTGGACAAAAGAAAAGCAGCAGCTCTGAGCATTTTTAATTCTCCTTTATTGAGAATCAAGCTGTCTGGTATGTAAAGCCTCTTTACTTTTTTTTAGCAGCCATTAAAGCTGGTAACAGCCCTTTTTATAGATCAATTTCATCTGAGATGCACAAGTCTTTCCAAGATGGAAGCCTTAACAGATTGTCTGTATGGGTTTCCAAAGATCCATTAAGAGTCTGTTCTATTATGCCGTTGTGAATTGGCATTGTATCCTACTGCCACTTGCCTAGCTGCAATTTGAGCAATAGGTATTAGACGCTGCACCAGTGGTGGTATTCTACCAGTTCGGCCCATTCTGGCATACCGGTAGTGCTGAAGATCAGCCGAGACCAAACCAGTTCTCTCTGAGGAGCTGCTATTGGGCCCACCCACCTGCCTGGGCTCCCATGCTGACCTTTATTCCCTGCTTTTGGAGTGCAGCTGCTTTGCGCTGCACAGCAGATTGCCGCGCGTCAGCTTCTGAAGCGACAGGGAGAGTGCAAGATTGCAGGAGGTGAGTCGGAAAGCCTGTGCGCCTGCGCAAAGTGTGTCTTTGGCACATGTGCGTGCACAAGGTGCGTGTGTGCACGCAAAGCGCATCCACCAAGCCACGCCCACCGCACTGGTGGTAAATTATTTTGAAACCCACCACTGCACTGCACCTTTAAAGCCACCCATTTGGTTTTGGTATGTGAGCTTAGTCTTGCCCCAACAATCTTCTGGAAAGCTCTTCAAACATGGTTTTAAAGCAACCTTGGGGAACCCATGGGAACAGGGAAACTGTGAGGTGGTTATATTGCATTTAGAATGCTGTCCATTCTCACACAGTAGTTGTTTATAGTTTTTTAACTTTTATAGTTTTTTAACTTTGATATATCTCTGCTCAGAGATATATTTGTGAGATGGGCAGCTTTAAAGCCTTGAAAACAAATAATAATTCTTAAGGCTACACCCAAGCCATAAATATTAAATTTTTTATGTGAACTCCTTAATACTAAAAGGCCAAACATTTGCCTAATTCAAAGAGCTTAATTGAGGCTTCCTTTTCCTTTTGAAGTTGAAAACCTCAAGTAGATATTCCTGATGCTAGAGGTCCCTCTTGTGGCGGCAAAATAACTTGTAAAATGAGGGTGAAGGTTCGTTCTCCGAGCTTGTGGGTTTTGTTAGCAGGCTAGGTAATATCGTCAGCGGTATTTAGGGGATGCCAGTGTTCTTCAGTTTATAAGGGCTTCAGATGTGGGTGTCAATTGAGGGTCTTGCGGTGGATTATGAGATGGCTCAGGTGTGAGTCATCTGTGAGAATCTTGTGATAGGTCTTTTGATGAGGTTACATCAGGTCAGGGTCATTGGGGGGATTTGTGTGGGTTGGTCGAGGATTGGTGCTGTCTCTGGTTGGCTGTGCAGTTGATTTGGATTCTAAGGGGTTCGTAGGCTGGTTGTAGCCCAATGTGTCTGTTGGTGGCATTGCTTGTGGAGTGCCAGGCTTCAGTGAACTCATGAGCGTGATGGGTGGTAGTGTGGCCAATGCTTTTTGTGTTGCTCCAATCAAACTGGTGCTGTTTGGTGTCCGGGTGGGTAGAGATTAAGGATTTGGGATCATGGCATTTGACTGCCAGCCAGTGTTCATGGATCCTGGTTTTTCATTGACGTGATGTTTGTCCCATGAAGAATTGATTACAGTTGATGTTGTAGATTGCGTTGTTTCTTTCATCCTTCTATATTTGTCTTTGGTTCTGGATGATTTCTGGCAGAGTGTGGCTGTGGGTTTGTGAGCTATTGTTTTTCCTAAGGATTGGAGGATTCTGGCTATCATGTAAAATTCATAAAAAGGAAGAAAAGAAAAATGGTGAAAGTAAAATAAAATCAAGAAAATACTGTTTTTGCTGAAAAATCCTTGCTATGTTAGCCAGATATAGAACATAGACTCATACAGGGAACTTGGAGGTCTTCTAGTCCAACCCCCTGGTTCCATCCTAGTCAAATGGCTGTCCTGTCTATTCTTGAAAATCTCCAGCAATCAAGCCCCAACAATAACTTGTAACTATCCTTGTCCCTATTACAAGTACTGTACATACATAGTTCTGAAATTATTTTAGCATGAAATTGGAAGTCCTAATATTAAAACAAAAGTTCAAGATTTCTAATGAGACACCCTTACGTGAATGAGCTTTAATTAAAACCTGAAATTTTACTTTGACTGACTTGAGTTCATCACTACCGATTGGAAAACCGTAGGCAGCTTTCAGAGCTAGGTGAGCTGTTGTGGCCAGTTAGATGCCTCTGCGAGAGGCTTTGCAAGCAGAGGCAGCACAGTGGTGGAATTGCCAGCCAGGAGATGGTTCTGGCTGACAAAAATTTTCTCTAGAGGAAGCAGAAATTGCTCCCTTGTGCTCTGGAAAAGCTGCTTCTCACAAGGAGACAACAGGAATTTAGTTTCTTTTTGCCAATGTGGTCGGACAGGCTCAGGAGAAAATCCCACTTGTCCCCTTTTGAGCTGCCATCTCGACTCCCACTGGTTATCCAGAATAGTTGCATTGACAAGTTCCTAAGCAAAGTGCCCACCAGAGATTGGAAACTTACCCACCCTCATTCCCAAAGGCACTGATTGCTGCTCATGCTCAAATTCCTGCCACCTCAGAAGAAGCCTTCACTAATCAGTTCAGGTAAAAAGGGCTGAAACTCAAATGTGAACATGCTAGTCCATGTATGACATGCCATATGATGAATAAATGAATAAATAGCAGAACACCAAGGCAAGAGAGTGATGTGTACACAGCTAGGGGCAAAGCTCAATGCCTCCACTTTCTGATCTTGTTTGTTCTGTCACATATTGTTTAAAGAATTGTGCCACCATTAATTTCCTGAAGATGAGTTATCATTTCTACAGGCCGAGAAACCAGGCTCCCTTTACGTATCAAGGGGGAGGCAATAGGCCCCAAGCTACTTTTCAACTTTGATCAGCTGGACGTTGGGAAAATTTTTGTGGGATCATCTCACAGTTATGAGGTAAGTTCAGTTGTTACAGTGGGGTCCTGGGTACTCTCTGAGCGTGGTTGTTTGCTTGCAGATGTTTCTTTACCTGATTAGATAACATCAGCAATGCTAGGGATTGTGGGGTTCACTCGCTCATTGTATATACCGTAATAGCTTGTCTTGCCAGTGCTGGATGAGGGTATTGTTTTCTGTTTGACTGTTTGACTGGTATTAATCCCTGCTTATCTGGATATTGGCTTCTTGTTTCCTTTCTTGCGTTTTATTGCCCATTTTGAATGTTGTGTAAATGTGGTTTGTCTTTCTTTGTGTCTGTAGAGGCTGATTTGTCTGAATGCCACGCTTCTGGGAATTCCCTAGAGTTTTTGGATTTAGCTTGGTCTAGGACAGGGGTGTCCAAACTCAAGGCCTGCGGGCCAGATGCAGCCCATGGGGTGCTTAGATCTGGCCCGTGGGCCCACTCTGGAAACAGCAAAGGACTGGCCCGCGGTGCCTCTGCCAGTGAAAATGGAGTTTGGGGAGGCTGTGCATAGTCTCCCCAAACTCCATTTTCCCTGGCAGAGGGCTGCAGAAGGCTGTTGTAGCCAAAACTAGAGCCCAGATGTGCCATCATAGCCGAAAATGAAGCCTCAATGAGTGATGTCGATCTGGCCGAGCCCCCCCCCCCCCCCGGCCATGCCTGACCCCCCGAAGTCAAATACAACACCCTAGGTTCTAGGATCAATAAGATTCTCTTTCTTCTTACAATGTGTTGATCAAGTTTGTAGAGGAAATTCAGGAAATTTAAATGAAAAATTAGCAGAAGAATAGTAGTTATTTCCCTTTTAAAGTGCTGAGTTCTTTCTTCCTGTCTGTCTTTCACTCTTTTCTTTCACGCCTTTCCTCACTATTGAGCTTAAGTATTATTTGCCCATCTTTAAACCAACCAAGCGTTATTATAAAATTGACTGCCTTCATTGTCCTCCCTCCTTAGATCTGTTCTAAGTCACTGCTAGATGCTCTTCCCTTGCTTGTGAGTCTGTCAGTAGATTCCTTTATCTAATTGCTTGTCAAAATTAGATCCTGTCTCAATTTAAGTGGGTCAGCGGAACAAGCAATCCTCGCTTGTATCCATAATTCTGCTCAAAATTTCTGTTGCTAAGCAATGTGATTGTTAAGTGAGTTGTGCTCCATTTTAACATCTTTTTTGCCCTGGTTGTTAAGCAAAGCACTATAGTTGTTAAGCGAATTGTGTGGTCGGTAAATGAATCCAATGTTTACCCATTGATTTTGCTTGTCAGAAGCCCCTAGGAAGGTTGCAAATGACTGCCCCAACGGATGTTGCAACCATTGCAAAAAAAGGCCGGTTGCCAAGCACCTGAAGTTCAATCGTATGATTGTGAGGATGCTACCACAGTCATAAGTATGAGGACGGGTCATAAGTCACTTTTTTCAGTGTTGTCATAACTTTGAACAGTCATGAAAGGAATGGTTGTAAGTTGAGGACTTCCTGTACACACTGTGTGCACAATTATTAGGCAAGCTGTATTTTGGAGGATTAATTTTATTATTGAACAACTATAGTGCTCTCGGTCAATCCAAAATGTTAATAAACCTCAAACCTGAATATTTAAGAAAGTAAAAGTGAGGTTATGGATTTCTTAGGAGAATATCTATATGTGCACAATTATTGGGCAACTATTAGTGTGCAGAATTATTATGCAACTAAATAAAAATGAAAATTTTCCCATTTTACTCATTTATTTTCATCTGTTAAAGTGAGAATAATAAACAAACAACTCAAAATTTACAAATAAACATTTCTGACAATTCAAAAAAAATCAATGACCAATATAGCCACCCTTCTTTTCAATAACAGTCATAAGACTTCCATTCATTGAGTTTGTCAGTTTCTTGATCTATTGACGATCAACTTTTTGTGCAACAGCAACCACAGCCTCCCAGACACTGTTCAGAGAGGTGTACTGTTTTCCTTCACTGTAAATCTCCCCTTTAAGAAGGCCCCACAAGTTCTCAATAGGGTTTAGGGTCAATAGGGTAAAGTGAGGAAGGGGGCCATGTCATTATTTTTTCATCTTTTAGGCCTCTTTACTGGCTAGTCACCCAGTGGAGTACTTCAATGCATGCAATGGAGCATTGCCCTGCATAAAAACCAGGGTCTTCTTGAAAGATGCAGACTTTTTCCTATATCCTATTCCTTCCTTCCTGCTTGAAGAAAGTCTCTGTCAGGCTACAGAACTTTTCCTATTCAATCAACTAGAATGAACTTCTGAAAATGTATCAAAACGTATCAAAAGGAATCCTTTATTGAGATGAGACAATTCATGTAGGGGTTAAAAGCAGCGTCTAAGGTCTCTCAGGGATGCAGAGATAGATAAGGGAGTTTAAAACCCCTCCCCTTATCTTGATGTGTATTTAGTAAAACAAAGAGCCAACATGTTAATTCCCCCACCCCCTTTTTAGAATGATCTTTTCCAGGGTTTCCCAGGACACATTTCACTGTGGAATTTTTATGGTCTCTTCATCTCCTGGCTGTCTCTCTCAGAGGCGATAGGTTCCGGCCATCTGGGTTTCATCCCTCCATTGTATCATGTGTAGGTTATACAAATTCGATATAAGATTAAATATATTCAGGTTACATCAAGAAGGATTTCTTTATCAGTCTCCCCCCCACCTTTTCTTCTTCCATTGAAGAAATGACAGATACACAATCTGACAGTCTCTTCTAAAAAGTAGGTTTGGGGAGTTGATTTTGAGTCCATCTTCAATCCAAAAAGGTGCAACTAGCTCATCTTTAATAACACCAGCCTATACCAGTACCCCACCTCTACCTTGTTGGCATCTGAGTGAAGTGGAGCTCTGTGCCTGTTGTGTCTGCGCAGGTGCGGACACATAATAGCCCACCACGACTAGCATGGGAAATACACTTTGAAGTGATTGGGTAACGGCATGGCAGGCACCTGCTATATAAGCGTTGCCCACCAGCCGTTACTGGTTGTTGAGTAAGCAGTTGTACTTACCGGAATAAACTTGAGTTGCGGATCCCTGGCTCTGAGACTTCATTCCGGCCGTATTTAACAGTGCCTGTTACTGATCCAGCCATGGCTCATCCATCTGGTTCATCAAGAATCACTCTCATCTCATCAGTCCATAAAAATCTTTGAAAAAATCTGTCTTCAGATATTTCTTGGCACAATCTTGCAATTTCAACTTATGTGTCTTGTTAAGTAGTGGTCAGATTTCAGCCTAACCCTAACCCTTAACCCTTACCTTGGCCATATTTCTGAGCACTGAACACCTTGTACTTCTGGGCACTCCAGGTAGGTTGCAGTTCTGAAATATGACTGCACTGGAAGATAATGGGTTCCTGGTAGGTTCATATTTGATTCTTCTCAAATCTTTGGCAGTTAAGGTATGTGGTTTTTTTTTTTTTGTCAATAGTTTCTTGCGACCCTGTTGACTATTTGCAACAAAATGTTTTATGGTTCTGTGATCATGCCCCCAAATCTTAGCAATTTCAAGAGTGCTGCATCCCTCTGAAAGACTTTTATTTATTTATTTTTATTTTTCAGAATCAGTTAAATCTCTTTTTGGGCCAATTTTGCCTGAGGAAAAGAAGCTGCCTAATAATTATGCACACTTTGATATAGGGTGTTGATCTCCTTAGGCCACACCTTCCCCCATTATACAATACACATCACCTGATCTACTTACATCCACTAAGCATTTAAATTTATATAGCTTGGAGGTGCAAAATATGTATACAAAGGCTGATACGATCAAAATACTCCCTTGCCTAATAATTGTGCACTCAGTGTATATCATCAGTACAAATGCATAAAGTATATAATGTCTAAATAAGAATAAACCCCAAATTTGCCCACGTAGCACCAAATCTTTCAATGTCGTCTGAAGCAATCTGATCTTTATAAGCTTTGGAAGGGCAGGAGGGGCATTTGCCCTTCAGCAAAGGGTCTCCGGGATTTCTCAGGCCAGAGAGTGATGATGAAAAGAAGCCTAGGTAATACTCTTACAGGACGGAGGCATTTCTGCAAAATAAATGGGTAGGGATTCAAGGATGCCCCATGACGGTGCTGGACCCAGTTGCTATGATGTGTATTGCCAGAGCCACCAGTAACAAATGTTGGCTAGGTCAGTTCTTCAGGCCATTTCTAATGCAATCCAGTGTCAGAACCCATTTAGGTGGATACCTTTGAACTGTGGCTTTTCACACAGCTTAGAAGTAACTCAGAGCTACCACTGTTCTTGAACTGCCAAGTTCCTTCCCCCACTTATCTTTCTATCTTCTCTCTGTGCCAGGCAATCTTATCTAACCAAGGAGCTATTGATGCCCTCTTCCACCTGATGTCGCCCTCCACTGTGCTGGGTGCCTGTTTTGCCTTTCAACCCAGAGAAGGAATCCTTGAACCGGGTGGCCATCAGGCCATTCACATTTCTTTCAGCTCTACTGTCCTGGGCCCCTTCTCAGAAGAATTCAGGTTCCATGTGAATGGATCTCCCCAGCCTGTGACCTTAGTGATTCGGTAAGTCCCAACATTTAGAACATCAGCTAGAGTCCTTGTTAAGGTTAACTAACTTTCACAGAGGCATTTGCACTGTCTGGTGAGGTCTGTTAGCCATGTGCAGATTCATCTCTTCTTTGTGATAAGAAAAAAATACACTTGAATGTAAAATGTTTCATGGAACTCATTCTGTTGGGCATCTGGCAGAATCAGTGGGTGTCTTCATTGCTTATCTCTGCTGGAGCAGCATGGTTTGCTCTCTTTGTATTTTAAAAATCTCTCCGTTTTTCACCTCAGGGGCTGCGTCATCGGACCCACTTTTCATTTCAGTGTCCCCTCTCTTGATTTTGGGGATGTCTCCTTCGGTAAGCCAGTCCTCTACATTCATTTTGTTTGGGGATTCCACCTTGGCCTATTAGCCCAATGTGCAGTGGTGGGATCCAAATTTCTTAACAACCAGTTCTGTGGGCGTGGCCTAATTTGTGGATGTGGCTTGGTGGCCGTGTGTCTGGGTAAGCTTGGCTTGGGTGGGCATGGCTTGGTGGTCACGTGACTGGCTGGGCATGGCCAGGGTGACTGGCAAACCAAACACAAGTGGTCCTTGCTTAATGGCGGGTTGCTTAGCAAGTGTTCTAATTTACGACTGACCTTCTCAGAGCTATTTGACCAGTTTTTGGAGTTTTGACAGCTATGCACACACATGCATGCATGCACGCATGCACACATTCCTTTCTAACCCTGCTATTCTATGATTCTGTAAGGATCTCCTGCTGGAGCAGGGGGTTGGACTAGAAGATGACCTCTGAGATCCCTTCCAGCTGTAGATTGCTGTGCTGTTTCAGAGTCTTCTAAAGCTAGGGTTTGTGTCCTTCCTTCCTCTCCTTTTTTTCTCCCTCCCTCCCTCCATGTATTTATCTATCCATCCATATATCTTTTTCACTTTCTCCTCTCTCCCTCTCTTTCTTTCTTTTTCTTTCTTTGTTCCTTCCTCTCTCCCTTTCTTTGTCTATCCCTTTTCTTCCCTTTGCTTCCTTTCTATTTTTTCTTTCTTTCTCTTTTCTTTCTTATCTCTCTCTCTCTTCCTCTCTCATTCCCTGTTTTTCTTTTTCCCTCTTTTTTCTGTCTTTCCCTCTCTTTCTCCCCCCCCCCTTCCTTCCCCCCCCCCCCTCTGCCCCTCTCTCCCCCCCCCCCCCCCCCCTCCCCCTCCCTCTCTCTCTCTGCACCTCTCTCACTTCCCCTCTCTCTCCCCCACTCTGTGTCTGTGTGTGTCTGTCTCACTCTCTCTCTCTCTCTCAAAGTCGTGGCCGGGCCAAGCCAGCAAGCCTTCCTTGGAGCTCTTTTCTACTTCTTTCATTTCTTCTTTTTGGAATCCAGACTGGCTGAACAATGATCGCCACCCATGGTGGATGTGTCCCTTTGGGCGATCCTTCTCCTCCTCCTCTTCCCCCCCCCTCCTCCTCCTCTCACAACCAGCAGCTGTGGCAGGGCTGGGAGGGTGCACACATGCGGGGAGACCCTCCTCAAGCAAGCAGCCGCCTGCCCCGCACCCAGTTTTTCTGTGCTTTGGCACTTGCTTGAGGAGTGTCTCCTCTCGTGTGTGCACCCTCCCGGCCCCACCACAGCCGCTGGTCACGAGAGGATGAGGAGGATGGTTGCCCAAAGAGATGCTTCCACCACGGCTGGTGATTGTTGTTCAGCCAGTCTGGATTCCAAAAAGAAGAAATGAAAGAAGTAGCGAAGAATGCCAAGAAAAGCTTGCTGGCTTGGCCCAGCCGCGGCTTTGAGGGAGAGAGAGACACACATAGAGACACACACACAGACACAGAGAGTGGGGGAGAGAGAGGGGAAGATAGGGACCTGACCGCTTCGCTATTCCCCGCCATCACCCTTACCTTCTTAGGCCAGGCGAGGGAGGGGAGGTTGAGGGGCACAGAGGGCAGCTCCCCCTGGCAATCCCCCTTTCCCTTGGTGCTCTGACTTCCCATGGCCCACCGGCCTGAACACCAGGTCAGACCACTAGAAGGGCACTTCCCCGCTTCTCAGCAGAGCTCTTGTGCTGGCCACTGCAGAACCCTCCACCACCTTCCCCAACTTCTCCCTCAACTTTGAAATGATGACGTCTGTTGCTGACGCGGGTGCAACTGGTGGGTGTGGTGGGGCCAACCAGGGGCGATTGTTTCGGGTCCAACAAAGGGGCTGTGGGCGGGAGAGGGAAGGGGTGGCAGGCAAAGGGGTCATGTGGGTGGCAAAGTGTCATGCAAGGGTTAGGGCCCAGTAGCTATGGTGAATCCGAGCTAAATTTCACTGTACCAGAGAACATGTGGAGAGACTCATGTACTCCTGCTGCTGGGAAAGCAAGAGAGTCTTTCCCGCACAGCGAAAAGTTTGCAAGTTTCCCTCCAATAGGGAAACAGGCAGCTCCAGGCGGCAGAGAAGCAGCCTAGTTGAATCCTGTTTCTCTCTGCTACCCGGAGCTGTGCTGGGAAAGACTCTCTTGCTTTCCCAGCAACAGGAGAACACGAGCCTCTCCACATATCCTCCGGTACAGTGAAATTTAGCTTGCATCCACAGCAGTCTGCATCTCGCCCCCCGCCTGGATTCACCGCAGCTGCTGGGCCTTACCTGCTGGGGGGCTAGGGTGGTGGGTGGCAGTGGCAAAAGGCAAGTGGGGTAGGGGGGAAAGACGACTGGCAGTGGCAGGTAGGTGACTGGGCCCTGGAGCTTGCAGAACCTCACTCACCCAGGGAGATCAGGCAGGGCACAGCGGAAGGCATGCAGCAATGGCTGGCCTGGCAGGTGGGCAAAAGCAGGCTGCAGGCGATGCTGCACATGTGCGATAAGGACTGACTGGGCATGGAGGGGAGGGGGAGGGCCAGCCAATGGTGCGATTTGCCGGTTCTCTGAACTGCACAGAATCATAACAACCGGTTCTATAGAACCAGGCAGGACCGGTAGAATCCCACCCCTGCCAATATCCATCTAGTCCAAGGCTTGCTTTGCAGTCCCAATAAGTCCCCCAGAGGGACTCAGGTCCTCCAGGCTAGATAAGGCAAGAAGCTTGTTTCCTGCTGGTCATTTGCTACCTGCTGGTCAAAAGGAAAGCATGCTTCTTGGATGAGAAGCAAATGTTTTCAAGGAAAAAAGCAAGAAAGTTCAGCTTTTGAAAAGCACCTCTGGGACAACCATGACCTGTGACTGAAGAACCTCCATAGACATGCCCAGATGTTCAGTATGTTCACTTGGGAGACGGGACAAAGGGGAGGGGAGGGTGGGAAGTAAAGTCCAAGCAGCAGGGAGTGCAGTCAAGCTGTGGTGACTCCTTTGGAGGATGGCAACTCTTTTAGGAGACTCCACAGAATCAGAGGCTCTGTGGTGAGGAAAGGCTCTCAGGAGCTGTAACTGGAAAAAAATTGTGGATGGAATTTTAATAGCTGATGGAATCCTCAACTTGCAACTGTAGTCAAGCCTGGCAATTGCAGTCATAAGTCACAATGCTAGCAAAAGAGGTCATTGTGTGACTGACCTGACTTTACAATCTTTTTTACAGCAGTCACAAGTGAACTGCATTTGTAAAGTAAATGTGGTGGTCATTAAACAAACATGGTGGTTGTTAAGTGAACTCATGGTCTGCTGTGGGCTGGGTGATTCTAGAAGCGGGAAATAAATGCTTCTTTCTAGCAAAAGATTCCTCAATTGCCATCCCATGGCCTTCTGATGCTGCAAATGGCCCTGCAGTAAAAGGGGTCCGGTTGCTGAGCGCCCTAAATGCAGTCACTTTGGAATCAAACTATCAATAGCTTTGAGGGGCTGTCGTAACTTTGATCAGTTGCTAAACGATCGGTCATAACTCAGGACTACCTATATTGTGTATGCATTTCCATATTGTGATCTTCTCTTCTTTTTTTTAAAAAAAAGATTTTTATTTTTTAAGACAAACATATACAGACAAAAACATAAAAAACATAAAACCATCTTCCAATTATATACATACAGTGTTTCAGTTGGTTACAAATCTTTTGTGCTATCCTTTCATAGTCCTTACTCACAAGTTATATAGGTTCTCAAATTGTCAATCTGGTATATGCTTATATGTTTATCAGTTACTAATCATTCATTTGACTAAACTATTATTCCATCATTTTATACGAGATATTCTAGATTTTATTGTAAATTTATATTATACATTTATCCAATGGTTATATATTTTGTATTATATTCTATATCAATCTATTGATCTTCTATTACAAAACTTAGTCTATTTCATTACCATGTCTTTTTATCTAACCATTGATAAAATAAGTCCCATATCATAAAAATTGTTTATCTTTTTGTTCTCTAATTTCAAATGTCAATTTGTTCATTTCAGCACAGTCCATAATTTTCTTAATAACTTCCTCCTGCATAGGTATTTTTTCATTTTTCCAATTCTTAGCAAATACAATTCTAGCCGCTGTTAAAACATTTACAATCAAATATTTCAATTCTTTATTGTATATTTCCAGTATAATTCCCAGTAAAAATATCTCTGGTTTAAAGTTCTATGTGTTGTTTTATCATTTTTTCCAACCACGTGTGGATTTTAGTCCAATATCTTTTTGCATCTGAACATGTCCACCACATATGGTAATATGAACCAGGTACCTGATGACATTTCCAACATTTATCCGATTTGTTCTTAAATATTCTCGCAATTCTCATCGGGGGTAAATGCCACCTGTAAAACATCTTATCCAAATTTTCTTTATAAGCAGTTGACATTGTCATTTTATAATTTTGAGACCACATTTTTTTCCATTTCTCTAAATCAGTGGTTCCCAAACTTTTTAAGTCCACCGCCCCCTTGGTGCTACAAACTCATCCTTGGTGCCCCCCACCCAGAGGTGGGATTCAAATATCTGTGGGCGTGGCCTAATTTGTGGGTGTGGCTTGCTGGTCATGTGACTGGGTGGGCGTGGCCAGGTGACTGGCAAACCAAATACAAGTGGTCCTCACTTAATGGCCGGTTGTTTACCAAGTGTTCTAATTTATGACTGGCCTCCCCAGAGCTACTTGACCTGTTTTTGGAGTTTTGACAGCTTTAGATCAGGGGTCTAAATCCCACTCCTGCCTGTGTGTGAGAGAGAGAGAGGGAGAGAGAGAGGTTGGATCAGATCTCTCTCTCTTTCTCTCTCTCCCACCAACGCCAGAAAGCCACCGTCAGTCAAAATTCATATTAGTGGTCTCCGGGATTTAAAATTATGAGTTTGGTGGTCCCTGAGGTCCATCCTCCCAGACTGGCTTTGCTCTACTTTCCCGATGCACTGCAGGGCCGGTGCTTCAAACATGGATGGGGGGAGAGGGAGGGGGAGAGGGAGAGGGAGGGGGA